AGTAGCAACTTGAAAATTTCACCATCTTTAAGAAATAGGTCATTCTAAGGACTCGAAAAGTTTCATAAAAATTCCCGAAAATCTTGATTTTTTCCAGTTTCGTAAAAGGTGAGCTCAAAATTGGTGACTCCAGGCATCTGCCCGCTGTCTTTTAAAAAATCGCGCCTTTCAAAGCAAAGGAAGTAGCAACTTGGATGTTTCGTCAGCTATAGAAAACAGATCACTCTAAAGATGCTTAAAGTTTCATTAAAAAAATCCTTAATCTTCATTTTTGGTAGATTAGCAAATGTTGGTCTCAAATTTGATGTTTCCAGTCAACTGCACTCTTTTGTTTAAAAATTCCCGTCTTCCAAACTAAAGCAAGTAGTGACTGGAAAGTTTCACCATCTTTAGCAGGCACATGCGTCTAAGCATGCGCGAAGTTTCATAAAAATCGCAGGGAATCCTGATTTTTTATAGCTTATAAAATGTGGGTCTCAAAGTTGATGTCTCCAGGCAAATACCCGCTGTCACTTAAAAATTCACAGCTTCCAGCCTACAGCACGCAGCGAGATGAAAATATTACCATCGTTAACCCACAGTTTACTATAAAGGCTCTGAAAGTTTCATAAAAATCCCCCCAAAGCTTTATTTTTGCCAGCTCATTGAATGTTGGCTTCAAAGTTCAAAGTTGCTTTCAGTCAACAGTCTTATTTAAAAATTGGGAACATTCAGATTAAATAAAGCAAGTAGCGATTTCGAATTCTCATAATCTTTAGACGACACTTAATTCTCAAAGATGTGGAAGTTTGCGAAAAATCCCGATTTTTGTCAACTTAATAAGTATTGGCCACAAATATCGTTTTTTAAACAATACTACAAAATGTGTTTTCAGTCAAGTTCGCTGGCTCTTTCAAAAATTCGCCGATTCCAAACGAAAGAAAGTAGCAACTTGAAAGTATCAGCAGCTGCAGAAGAAGCTTGGCGCAAAAGATGCTGAAAGCTACATTAAAATCGCTCAACATGCTCAATTTTTTCCAGCTGAGTAACTGTGGATTTCGAAAGTAGTACATATCGGCCTCATAATGGAGGTTTCTGTTCAACCATTAAAAGACTTATTGAATTCCAGATATTCAGAGTCCAGACTGGCAAAACTATTCAATGGCAGCATCCCAATAGTCCTGGATTCCCTAAAACAGCACTATTTTATCGATCGGGACGGAGGTATGTTCCGACACATTCTCAACTTTATGAGAAACTCGAAATTGCTCATTCCCGAGAACTTCCAGGACTTGGATCTGCTGCTGGAGGAGGCCCGATATTTCGACATTCCACGTAAGTGAAGAGCGGCAGGATTTCCTCCTCAAATACTCATCGCTCCGTTTTAGCCATGGTGCGGCAGTTGGAGCAAATGAAGAAAGATCGAGTGAAAAACGGGCTGTACAGAAGTCAAGCTGAGCGAAACTCACGGTTGCCCTCAAATGGGCAGGAGGTGTATGAGTGCGTGGCTTTGCACGTGAGTCCAGACCTGGGGGAGCGAATAATGCTAAGTGGAGACAGGAGTTTGCTGGATGAGGTGAGCCACTTCTTGTGATAAATCCTGCGGAAAAATGGTGAAACTGTTGAGCTCTTAGGTGTTCCCTGAGACCAACCAGGCGGTGATGGACGCCAGGAGTGGAGCGGCTTGGAACCAACAGGATGTCCATCATGTGATCAGATTTCCTCTTAACGGTAAGCGCACCAAGTTCTTCCAGAAGCTCTGTTTGCACCCAACTTTTCCTGTTCAGGTTATTGCAAACTGAACTCGATGCAAGTGATCAGAAGGCTGCTGAATGCCGGCTTCAAAATAGCCGCCAGCAATGGAGGAGGAGTTGAGGGCCAGCAGTTTTCGGAGTATTTATTCGTGCGAAGAGTGCCGTCCGGTTGACGCGGACAATCTCACAGCTTTTAAAAAATTGCCGCCTGTAAATACTTTCAGCTGCCCTTATCAGTTCGATTAGTTTCCCCCGACAACTTTCCATCGCCTTTTAAGTTTACTTGATCTCATCTCATCCCATCAGTGAATCCTTCGGACTGCTTTTGGCGCAAGTAGTTGAACACTGTGACGTCACGCAACAGTAAACTCAGTGTACATACTTTCCTGACTGTGTTTCAATTCCCAATCAAATTTATTCCTGCGTTTCAGTCATTTATTGTCTCTATTTATTAATCAAAATGCGTTTTTGCTGCTTTAAGCCTTGGCATGCCTTTTTGTCTGCGAAAAATTCGGTTTCTTCCTGACGTTTCGCAAGCACGAGTGGCTTGCATCTTCAGAAGTGGTTTGCTTGAACGCTTACACTGTTCTCATCAGAACCCGCGTTCAG